TATTTAGATGCAGGTTCAACTGATAGGACTACAAGTCTGCATGCATTGATGAAATTTGAAGCTTCAATTTGTATACCTGAGTAATTTCCAAGGCTTAAGCTGTATTTGCTTTGTTCATTTGACACAGCAAAGTAGTCGTACTCGGCATACGCACGTGATCCTTGAAAGTCTTCCAAATCAACACGTAGAAAGTTTCGTTTTGCTTGTGTTAGTCGGTGGATCTTGTCCAGACCAAGCCAGAACTCACCTTTAAGATCTCCAAAACCATTCTTATAGTCGGCCCATSCTCGGTAAAAGTCCACCGAACCATCTTTTCTTCTCTGGAAAACTATCCATCCTCCCCCTGAAGTCTTCTGGTCACAGTAGACCTCGAAAGAAGATCAATTGATTGAGGGCCAAGTTCAAAGAAGTCAAGCATAGTAACCCGGGGGGGGGGGACTCCCTAATGTCAAAGTGAGGGGGTCCTCGGCGTCCCTTTTAGGGTTTGAAATCGGTATTTTGGTCCCGCTTAGGGTTATAATGACGAGAATTTCCCCCAATTTCCTATGAAATGTAAGTGCTGCATTCAACTAAAACAAAATGACCTGTTATTGATTGGTCCCTTTTAGGGGTGAAATTTCAGCACTGCCACGCCCATCATCTCCAAACACAGGCCCCTCTTTGGGGTCATTTTCATAATTTACGCCGAGGACCCCCGCCCTTTGATATTAGGGCATAGTAACAACAAAAATACTTTGTATTTGTTTGTTATTGTAATTCGTAAAACTTTAAATTGTACAAAATCATGCGTATTGCTTTGTTTAATTTCCTCTAATCAACACTAGCAGTAATTTGTACTCATTATTTAACATATTTATTGTGTCTAATGGAAAAAGAATACCTTGAAACTACGTTGGCTATCRGGATAGACATAGTACTCTCCACTTTGCTTATAACCATTTTGAAGAACTTCAACACAGTTCTTTGCTAAAAAAAAGGTCAGTTGAGTCACAATATTTATGTCCATTAAGACTTGTTTATTTTGATAAACATTAGGACTACAAACCTTTGCATGCAGTTTCGCTACAATTTCGTGTTTCCAAACTATTGCCTTGACAATTTTTCCCGCCATGTGCTGGTGCAGGGTTTGAACAAGTTCTTGATCGTGATTGGCTGCCACCACCACACTTAACTGAACACGCCCCCCATGGTCTCCAAGGTGACCAATTTCCATCAACTGATGTGGTATAAGAAATAGTAAAATTAGCATGGAAGCTGAAAGGTGGCCCAGCATTCATGTCCGAGCAGGAAACTGGGTTCAAGTTTTAAAATTACACAAATCAGCGTGAGACCTACATTATCTGCAAGAGCAAATTAAAAAGCAAAGTTTGGTGGAAATTGAATCAATATTTCAAAAATCATAGCCGTTCAAAAGACTCTCTTTTTCATCTTAAAATGGTGGGAAATGCTTTCCCCATATTCTGGACATTCCTTTGTAAATTTTATGATTTTTTTAACAGCTCAAGTTCTTAGATAGTTATCTGAACTAAACCAAACTTGGGGATATTATCAATTTCATGTGATATTCAAGATGATATTTGCAATTCAAGGCGATGTTTGCAATTCTAAACCTCGAAACCAGCCTCCTACTCGGACAAGAAAGATGGCAATTGGCATATGATAGCTGGAATATCTGAAGCGGGTCGTTCCTGCTCAACGAGTTTCCTTTTTTAAATTGGGGAAAGACGAAATCGGCCCATGCAGCCTAATTCATATGATAAGCCCCCGAGACTGCTTTTTCGGTCTTTACACAAATAAGGGTGGACTATCCTAGTGTGTAGTCGTCTTATTTAGCTATTTAACAATTAGACCTCGAGGTCGAGTCGACTACGAGCTAATAGCCCATGAGGCCGAGTGTGCTATTAGCTCGTAGTCCACGAGGCCGAGAGGTCTAATTGTTTTAGTATAAACATACTAATCGGTCAAAWAATGARAACAAATTGAAATATCCTTAAAATAATTCATTAATGAGATGCCGCCATTTTGATTTTCCCGCGAGTGGTCTATCACAAATTAGACCATTAGTAGAGTAGCCAATCACAGCGCAGTATGAGTGATAGACCATTAGTATGTTTATACTAATTATATATAGCTTAGCATGAGGGACACTGTCAATGGATGACATGCGCAGTAACAGTTTCGCATCCTAACGGACTTTGAAAGTATCACCTTCGAGGTAAATCATTTTGTGGTGCTTTTGACACACTTTGGAATATTCTAGATCTGTTTACGTTTACGAGCTGATTTATGTCGCGCCAACTTGGAGTCATAAACTTGAAAACACTAGCCTAGTGTTTTCAAGTTTACTCACGCATGCGTGACATTGACAGTGTCCCTTTAAGTGCAACAAATTATTCTACGAACAAATCATTCATGTTAATACCTTTTTCGCAGTGCTCTCCGCCAAATCCCTCATTACAGTGGCAGTAATACTGTTGCCTGTTGCATTGCAAAGTGCACTTACCGCCATTTCGACAAGGGTTTTCTTGACATGGGCTCTAAAAATGGATGCAWTAGGAACTGGTGAGGCCGTTTTTAACGTATTTAAACAGAACAGAACAAAAGGAAAAAAAGTAAAGCATTGTATAAAATATATCTATCGACTGATTCATCCAATTAAGTTTTTCTTTTTAGTTCTTCGATAAAATGTACCTTTAAGCTATAATGAGTGTACGCCTTGTTTTGATCCACGTACTGTTTYCCASCGAAYTGCTCAGAAATTAAYTGACAGGCGTGAAGACCGTTAGCTAGAGGATCGATTTTGAAATTGACTGAACGGCACCAATGARCCYCMATGCAAGCGAAAGCGCACTCCATRTCATTAGCAACAAACTTGGTATTTTTCATTTYTCCTTTTGGAAGAGTAAGKTTTTGACCAGGATRCAAGTAAAAAAGGCCTTTTCTGTTGTTACAATTCGGAGGAAAACTTTGACCAAAACTGTAGTATGCAACATACAGAAGATAAAGGAAGATAAAGGCAACAAACCTTGGTAAAACAGACATACTGAAGCTCTTTTCAAACAGGTTTTAGTTGTATTCCAAGGTAAACACTGAAAGTGACGTCGAAGGATAACTGAAGGTGAATTAAGTAATTGTGGGCGTGTTTTAATCTACACCTCCTGCTTTCAGTGACAGATTCAGGGGTATGATATGTCATGCAAGTCATCCAAGGATCTTTTCGCCCAGAAAAGAYCTCCTTTCTAAGCACTATATCTTTTCCTTTACTTCTATTTCACAGATCCAAGGAGTCGACCGGTTCATACAACCTTAGTTTTGAATTCAAGTTTTTAAATAATTTTAGCCTATCGTTAATATAAATAAGTGTACAAACAGAAACATGTGATAATGATGTATTACTTTAATATTTTGGGTTGTCCTGTCATTATTCGTAACCGCGCGCTGTTTTTTTTTCAGTTTTTGCCAGGACATCTATAATTCATCAATTATACCACTTTGTAATTTAGTCGACAAACTGAACAAAATTACTTTGGTATTGACAAATTCATACATAATTGTTATGTAAACAAGAGATTGACAAGGAAATGTCAAGTTATTCAAGATCTGTCAAGTATTCTTAGTTTTCTTCTCAAAATAAGGCCAAGAAATACGAGATACGAAAACGCTGAACTTGTCGCTCGACTTTGCTCAGTACTGTTGAAGTTCAGATTCAGTTTTCTACTTTTTCATTATAGTAGCCTGTTTTTTTTGTTTTGTTTTTTTGTTGTTGTTGTTGTTGCGCTTTGTGATGGATGAACATTTGCAAAATGTCGATCCAATCCGGATTATTTTTTGTTGTTAATTTGCTCTTCTTTCAAGCAATTAATGTTAAATTAGACTAGCTTTAAGCAATCACTTATATTCGGATTTTATTTAATTCAAGTTATTAGYGATTTATATGCTATGTTAGATGCTACTTTTTAGAAAATTGGACAGTTTTAATTTTGATGCACGGCAATTAATTTACTTACAAAAAAATAAAGACAAGTTAAAGAAATTCCTTGGAACGGAAATATATTCTGACTACTTTTGGCCATGCTATTTACTGCTGCAAGAAATCGTCTCCAAGAAATTTCTGTGATAGCGTCTACATAAATAGATCTAATAATTACACAATTAAGTAAAAACACACACTGTGC